CGGGCCGGTCGGCCAGGGCCCGAGGGGCCTCGCGGGGAGCGGCCATGTTGGTTTCGTGACTGAGGACGCGGGGCGGCCTGGGGGGGGGCGCCCTGCCGGGGGTGGGCGTGAGGACAGCCGAGGTGCGGGGGTGACCCCGAGGGGCGGAGACTGTGGGGCGTCCTTCCCTCCCACTCGATGGCCCTGATGTCTCCGTCCAGGGGAGGGACGACTGTGCCCCGACACGTTCGAATACGGTGCAGAAAGCTAGTTCAGGAGTGAGAGGCTTTAAAATTCTTTCCGAAATGGAAAGCACCGAGAAATAGAAGTGCCTTAGTGCGCGAGGAAGATTCGAACCTAAACCTTGCAGGTGATAACAAGAGACCCCGGACCCCCAACTCACTGCGTCTGTGAAACAAGTTTTTCCTAAGCCGCGGGTCCGAGGCTTTTGATGTGTAGTTTCCTCCTTCCCCAGTAGAATCCAGTGGTCGTGGGGCCGTTAGGTTTATCTGCCAGACTTACCTGCACATTACAGGTGGGAGGCTGCCCGCGCCTTAATGTTGCTTGTGTTTCTCTCTCTCGCACTTCCTCGACTCCAGGATTCAGAAGGAACTGGCAGACATCACTTTAGACCCTCCACCCAACTGCAGGTGAGCTTCTTTTCAAATTTTTTTCTTTTTAAAATTCTTTTAACCTTTATCTTGGTTTTTTTCTTTTTATGATTATAAAATTTGCTTTTATTTTTTGGTTAATGCTTGTTTTAGTGTTAGCATCAACAGCTGAAATTCATTAATCTGGGTATAATGTTTTGATGAGCCTCTGACAGTTGCAGTACTATGTTGAAGAGAAGTCATGGATTTGGAGCGGACACTTTTGCGTGTATGAAACGAAACTGTAAAATGAACTTAAAGATGTACGCTTGCCTAATCGTGGACCTTTGATTTCTCATTAAGGATGATGTAAAACTTTTTAGATGCTCAGGTACATTTTGGTTTAGAAAATAGCTTTGCTATCTTAATCTGTTTTTCAAGCTCTCTCCTAAGCTAATAGAGCATAGAGTTAAATCAAGTACTGGGTCCTGAGACTTATTTCATTATATTTAAATTTGGTGTTGGACTTTTTCCTGCCTAATTCAGGACGTAATTGGTGGCTTTGATAAAAAGGTTTTGTTTTAAATTATTTTATAGATTTGAACTCTTCCATAGGGATGTTTTTCTTGAATTTGCTTTACTCAAACTGTATGCATATGTGTTTCAGTTTCAAAACAGTTTGATACCAGCTTGTGAAGGGTTTGTTGATCACTTGATTTTATTTAGAATAGCCATTTTGCTACTGTTGAGTCAAGGTGGAAGACTTGATGATTTTACTAGAGCAACAGTGAAGTGAGGAAGGACTTATTATATGTTATAATAGAGCCATTTGTTTAAGGGAGATTAATTGTTAGGTTCCGTTACTCCCATAGTTTAAAAATTAAGTCTAACATTTAACCTAATTCTCAGTTCTCAGGATCAGCCTTGGGATGGCATGTGCGATTTCAGAAGGGTTCTAAATTTATAGGTAGAGGTAGAAAACGTTACCCAGAAGAAAATATTCAGTGGTCATACACAGTTTAAAACAAGCATGTGGAAATATTCAGATGGAAAAGCTAAACGAAATATTTTGCTTATTAACACTGAACTTAACTGTGGTTAATGGATTAAATAGAGACTTTAATATTGCCGTTTTGGTTACATATGTTCTTAATGTTGGTCAGGTGTAGGATGTTCTTTGGTAAAGTGTCCTGTTTTGTGAGGAAGGTCATTTTGAGTTTGACATGCTCTTAAGCTATGGTTTGTAACTGAACTGCTTAATCACTCTTGATGATTTCTCTCATGGCTATTAAGAATCTCTTCAGACAGTTGACAAAGTATAGAAATGGGTAAGGCTCAGGGCTGTAATATTTTCCTCTTTTATTTTAGTGGAATCAATATTCAGATGGAAGCCTATAGCTTCCCTTGGTTGGTTGTATTGAATCCGTGGGCATTCTCCTTGGTAGATCTGTGTTATGTAGTTCATGCTCCTGTTTGGGATCGTGTCTCTTCCATGTGTGTCTTGTGAGTTCACACAGCTTTCGCTGATCAAATTATAAAGTTTTTAAAGCATGGTTTCAAAACTAATAACATTTATCAAACATAAATGGCTTTCTTGTAAGTGCAAATTTAAAATTGTAAACAATTGGAAGGTTTTCGTGGGATTAATCACCTTTAAAAAACAGGATAAGTATGCATTAGTTTCACTCCATTTTAGCTGAGTGTACGTGTGAGAGATTTGTGCTGGTGAGCATGTAAAACTTTTTATTCTTGGAAAACCCTCCTAATTACCCCTCCAAGGGGAAACCTTTCAACGTTACCTGTGGTCAGGTGAAGTACCAAACTGGATGGCTATTGGGTGGTGGGTGGTGAGGAGATGAACCTTGACAGACTTAAACATTTTTGGAAAAATATCTCCTTGATTTCAGAGAAAACACCAGGCATCTTTATTTTGCAAGAGAATGTATGTTATATTGACTTTTAAAAATAAAGGCTGCTTTATTTTCTGAAGATCTTTTCCAGTAGGGCTGCTTAAGTAATATGAATTACAATTTCTACTTTTGGTTGGCTTACTAGTGTTACTGACTTAATGTTGTTATTTAGTAGTCTCAATATTCAGGTAACTTAAATGAGTTTGGTTTTTTGTTGGTACCTTATGGGATTGAATTATTTAATATTTTAATGTATGTTATTGTTTGAGATGGAAATGGATAATTTAGTTTTGGGGATACTTTCTGGAGTCAGCATCCAATTAAAATGTATGAATTGAATAGTAAACTGAGTGCATGCATGTTTATTTTTTAATGTTACTCTCAGCATGAGAGCTCGATAGCTTGGTTCTTTTATATTTTGAATAAGTTAAATAATTGGCTTTCAATGAATGTATCCTATGTATTAATCCTTTGTTGGACTGCCTTTCCTCAGTCAGTGTTCAGCATGTGATTTTAAATTTAAGCACATTACTAAAATGTAGCAGTTGGCACATAGTAAGCTTTCAATAAACAGTTGATTATTGCAAATCATTGGGAGAATCACTTCTCTTGAAGGTGCACTGCTTGTGTTCAGTAATTTTAGCACTTTACTTGGCAAAAGTATTTGGATTTGAAGTTACTAAGCTTCAAAACTTGTGTGAAATGCAATTGCTAAATATGTTATGTATGAGCACATAAAGTTAAATCCTCAGTGTTATATATTATGTTAAGTAGATTTTTTTAGAACAAAATGCAGTTTATATTCAATGACCAGGTCAAAAGTATTTTAAGTGAATATTTTTAAATTGCCATATAAATCAAATTCTTTGGTATCTCTGAACTATTTGGTTGTATGTATATACACAGATGAGATAGTCTCCCACCTCACATACTGTGCATTTGGTTAGGTTTTTTCCCCCTGCATTTTGGCTTTATTTGTTGAGGAGAAAAATACTGTCTTAACTACTGTAATGATTTCCTAAAGCTTGCTGTATCTTGGATTGTAAAATTATGTCTTTTAGATAGCTGGTGAACTCTGGGCCGCTAGAGTCAGTTTTGCAGCTGTTATTTATAGCCTAGGGCTCAAGCTTTGCTAAATTGACTAGTTATAGCTATGTAACTAATCTGTAGACATAAATGCCTGTAGACAATATGTCTGCACGTAATAAATGACATGTTTTGCCTAAGTCGTTTAAACTTCAGATTTTACTTAATGGGTATATTAGTATTATGAATAAACTACTCATATAGTGACTTGAAACCCCAAAATTTAGATTTTTGGGGAGTGCTATTTTAGGATAAAATGTGTTTGAGAAGTTATTAAACATTTCAAGCATGGTGGAGAATAATAAAAATTTTTCTTTTATATGACTGTTACATTTTGACCATTATTTTTCTGTTTCCTAAATATGTAAACCCAACTAAGTCAATGTGTTTTATTTTTCTGGGAGAAGTATTATGTGATCAGACTTTTAAAGTTGGTTATAAAGTTTTACAGCTAAATTGTACTTTTTTAAAGATGATTTAAAGGCTAAAATGAAGAACATTTTTAAAAAATATAATGCATTTGTCTAAGAAGTTAAATTTTCTCAACCTTCTCTTCCTCATTTACTAAAAGGGCCATATACCTGGTTTCCTACCTCATAGTGTTGGAAAGCTCAAACGAGCTTAGAGTCTTCTGTATGTGTTAGATGGTGATATTATTAGAATTGCCCGTTTAGCTCCTTTTAATAGCTCACCTTTTTAACTAACATTGCCTTTTATTGCTTGAATTTTAAATACAGTATTAAGCTATTACACAGTAATGTAAGAATGCATGTTTTTGAAAAGTTGAAATGCAGAAGTTGTGGAGTAAAAAGTGAAAGATCCTCATCACGACCTCTTCTGATCCTGCCCCTTGCACAGAGATGCTCCAAGTTAGCACTTCATTTGTGTCCTTCCAGATAGTTTCTGTGAATTCACATTGTTGTATTTTTCTGGTTTTACAAAACCTGGAATTAGTGGTAATAGTAATGATATGTCAGTTTAGAAATCCCAAGCTGCTAACTTTGGCGTGAAAAAGAGATCCTTTCCATGCAACAGTAAAGGCTTATACATCTTGTCCAAGTTTAGCATGTTTTAAATGGTTGTTTGGGTATAAGAAATGAGTTCAACAGAATTCATCCTTTACAGAATCCTGTATCATCTTACTTGCTGAAAAATATCTTTCCTTTTATATGTCTTTCATGTATCTGATGTTACTAACTGCGTTAAGGATATAAATGTGACTTCAACAGCTGAATGATGTTTAGTCATCATCATTTTCATTTGGAGAGTTACCACTGCAGTATGCTTGCCTTTCTTTATGTGTGTAAAGGCAGTGTTGAAAAATAGTGCGAGACAGGAGTGTCAACACAATCAAAATAGCACCACCCAAAGCAGGATCAGGTTCCTGGAAACTAGATCATCACCTGGGGCCTGAGGGGGTAGGAAGGAAGGAAATCTGTCCAGGAAGTGCCTTGCCTACTAACTGAGACTCTTGTGGCTGTTGTGGATTGTAAAGCTGTACTGCTGCTGCTCCTCAGAAAGCTAAACAGAATTACTGTATGACCCAGCAATTCCACTCCTAGGTATATACCCAAAAGGATTGAAAACAGGGACTCAGACAAATACTTGTCAGTGTTCATAGCTATCCATATTAGCCAAAAAGTGGAAACAACACAAGTATCCATCAACAGATGAATGGATAAACAAAATGTGGCCTATATACACAATGGAGTATTATTTAGCCATAAAAAGGAATGAATTTCTGATAACATGCTACAATGTGAATGAACCTTGAATATGTTATACCAAGTAAAATAAGTCAGACACAAAAGGACAAATATTGTGTGATTCCACTTACATGAAATATCTAGAATAGGCAAATCTATAGAGACAGAAAGAAGATTAAGAGGTTTGCAGGGGCTGGGGAGATGGGAGAATGGGGCATTATTTCTGAATGGGTTTCTGTTTGGGGTGATGAAAATTCCGGAAACAGATAGTGGTAATGGTTGCACAACATTGTGAATGTAATTAATGGCACTGAATTTTACACTTAAAAATGGTTAAAATGGCAAATTTTAT